GGGTTGTAATTGGTAACGTAATTAGAGCCGTAATTGGTAACGTAATTAGAGGTGTAATTGGTAACGTAATTAGAGGTGTAATTGGTAATATAATTAGAGTTGTAATTGGTAACGTAATTAGGGTTTGTAATTGGTAACGTAATTAGAGCCGTAATTGGTAACGTAATTAGAGGTGTAATTGGTAACGTAATTAGAGGTGTAATTGGTAATATAATTAGAGTTGTAATTGGTAACGTAATTAGGGTTTGTAATTGGTAACGTAATTAGAGCCGTAATTGGTAATGTATCTTTTCCAGGTCGCCAACGATGGCGGGAGGTCTCTTCTCCATCGATAAATCATTTTTTGAAAAACTTGGAACCTACGACAGTGGTTTTGATATATGGGGTGGAGAAAACTTAGAGCTTTCGTTCAAGGTTTGTTGGTTCTTTTTTTATTATTATTATTATTTCTCATTATCGTTTCGAAGGGGAAAGCTCTGAATTATGTAATGTTAGGAGTATTTTATCACGACGAAGATAGCACTTGTTTGATTGTTTTTCTTCTCACAGAATCATGCAGCACTTGGTAAAACACTTATTTTCTCACTGGAGAAGGCAGTTCTTCCTTTACTGCTTACGTTCGAACAGAATCGTGCAACACTTCATAAACCTCGTGATTATCATGCTGAACTAATGAGTCTGACGTTCTGTGGCTCGCGCATTGTTACCGCCAAAAATCGCTCTTCGGGCTTTAGGTTTGGTTTGTTTTGAATCTCACGCAAAGCTACACAAGGGCTATCTGCGCTAGCCGTCCCTAATTTAGCAGTGATAAACTAGAGGGTAGGAAGCTAATCAACATCACCTACCGCCAGTTCTTGGCCGTCCCTAATTCAGCAGTGATAAACTAGAGGGTAGGAAGCTAATCAACATCACCACCGACAGTTCTTGGCCGTCCCTAATTTAGCAGTGATAAACTAGAGGGTAGGAAGCTAATCAACATCACCACCGCCAATTCTTGGACTACTTTTTCACCAACGAATTGTGAAATTGATCGTAATATTATAACGCCCCCACTGCTGAAAGGGCGAGCATGTTTGGTGACGAGGATTCGAACGCGCGATCGGACTTTAGGACCGTGGTCATGTTGTAAGAGTAACAGTTAAAACCCACTATAATTCACCCAAGAATTGCCGGCGTGGGCTGTTGAATAGCTGCCATCTTTCTATTATTTCAATTCAAAATTAAGAACGTCTATTCGCATGAAACCATTATGTAGCTTTGTGCGAAAATTAAAAAACAAACAAAAACAACACCAAATCGGCCTTACCATTTGGAAAAGCTTCATCGAGTTAAGTGAGGAACATTTAATAATGGCCATTAAACTGATCACCATTGCGAACTGCTTTACATCTGACTAAAACTTTTCATCAACTTTTAAATACCGAGACCACTCTCACAAGTCCAGTTTGACCACTTGTCAAATAACATCTCACGTGTCCAGCTCGACCAGTTGTAAAATGATAAAGAAGCCAATCTAGTGCTAAAAAAAAAATATTTCAAAAAGCAAACAAACAAACAAAACTTGTTGTTAAGCGCCAAGCTACACAATTTGTGTTTTACTCACCGTGGGTAGGAAAACACGATTTGTAGAAACTTTTCTTTTACCAAACGAAGAGAGGAAATTATCAGAATTTGTTTCGATATTTGAGGAAAACAAGAAACGTGGAAAGGTTTTTTAATAATCTGTTGATAGGTTTAAATTTAATTACTTTAACGAACTCGTTGCTTTTAAAGTCTCTCTTTATTTTTTAGTTGTTTTTTTTATCCGTAGGAGCTGCATTTTGTTTAATTAGAATGTGTTGTCACCTCACAGTTAATTTAATAAATCAAAATTAAATAATGTATTACGCGATATAAATTTCAAACGCAATTTTAAAAACGACACATATATATCAACTAACTTTTAAACTAATAATTTGAAAGCTCAAAAAAAATCAGTTATTAAGTTGTTGGTGATCGAAAGCTGAAAAAAAGAATACGCGACTTTAAAAATGTGTTTATGATTACTTGTGTCGCTCAAAAAGCCTGATTTTTCTTTTTACTTTTTTTTCATAGACGTGGATGTGTGGGGGGACTTTAGAAATTGTCCCATGCTCCCACGTGGGCCACATTTTTCGGAAGCGGAGCCCTTACAAGTGGAGGTCAGGAGTCAATGTCTTGAAACGAAATTCCATTCGTCTAGCAGCTGTATGGTTAGACGACTATGCCAAATACTACTACCAAAGGATAGGCTATGATCTAGTATGCTCTTTTTTTGATAGATGGTGTTATATACTTTGTCAATTTTAGATTTTTTAGAACTAAAATGCTTAGTTTTGAAGATAATTTAAAATAATAATTATAGCAATACCAACACAATTAAGACTCTAAATTCTTATCATAATAATATAGTGACCTGAATTCAGTAGTTTAAAGATACGATTAAAAAAAAACCATATAACGTTCATTATAGGTCAAGTTTTGATAACTAAACTGTTGTTCATCAGTAACAGTATATAATCCTGAAAAAATGAAATAATATTCTGTTCATAGCACTAAACATGTAGATCAGTGATACGTGTGCACGTGTACCTCGAGTAGGCGTGGGATACACATGGTTGTTGTTTTCTTAGTGCCAAGCTACACAATGAGCTATCTACACACTGTCCACTGCAGGGGATCGAATCTTGTATTCTAAGTCCGAAAATTACCGTTTGACCCACCGGCGGGATGGGAGTGGGGGTGGTGGTAGGGGATACATATAAATATACTTTTTTGTTAGATATACAGAGAATATCGTGCCCATTGTCAATTACATATACCCCCCCCCCTTCCCAGTGGTTCAGTAGCAAGTCTACAGGCTTATGACGCTAAATAACAGGCAAAATAATGGATCATGGTGGTGGGTCTATAGATATGAACGGGCAAAATAATGGATTATGGTGGTGGGTCTGTAGATATGAACGGGCAAAATAATGGATCATGGTGGTGGGTCTATAGATATGAACTGGCAAAATAATGGATCATGGTGGTGGGTCTGTAGATATGAACGGGCAAAATAATGAATCATGGTGGTGGGTCTGTAGATATGAACGACGGGCAAAATAATGGATCATGGTGGTGGGTCTGTAGATATGAACGGGCAAAATAATGGATCATGGTGGTGGGTCTGTAGATATGAACGGGCAAAATAGTGGATCATGATGGTGGGTCTGTAGATATGTAAGGATGATTTGTTTCTTTGTTCCTGTATGATTGGGGAATATCTTTGAAATAGATAATATTATGAAGAAGTAGGTATCACAATAACAACCACGCGATACCAAGTGTACACCGTTTGAATGTCAGTGAGATAATAATACCAAACTTATTGCCCTGATTACTGAGGAGGATTTGAAAGAAAAAGGAAAGAGCTGGTGGTAAAAAAAATTATGAAGTCCCAGTACTAACCCAACTGAAAATTTGAGGCATCAGTTGAAAGAGTAATAAAAAGTTGTGTGTGTAGGCAGGCCCCTTTGTGATTACAGTAATATATCCTAATAGTAAACAGTATATATATATATCTTCATTCTAAGCTATATTAAATGAGCATATTTATATTTGATCTAACTTCTTTAAATGCAGCTAACAACTTGATTATTTTTCTAACAGATTTCGTGTATATTTTTCAAAGATGTAGTCTTGGGTTCTGGATTAATTTGTATACATTCTCCTACTTTTCCTGAGAGTAATTTTCCTAATTTTGATGTGTTTTTACTGGGACAGAATGAAAAGCGGGGGTTCCGAATACCTCATTTCCTACACCATTGTTTTGGGTAATTTTTCTAATATATTATGCCGATGTGGCTCTGGTTACCATAAATGTGACACTAAAAATATACTTAAGACATCAAAACACACCAACAGATCAAGTTTTTCATTTTTTGTAAAAGACTGATTTCTTAAGGCTTTTATTATTATTGTTGTTGTTTGTTTTTTTTCTTACGTCAGAAACGGCGCAAAATCTTTAAAACAAAATTTAAACATATTATACGAACACCAAATATATATAACGCCTCGGCTTCTAATAAACGTAGTCACAATATCTTAAGCTCCAGACCACACATATCTTTATATGTGATACGATAACAGAAAGTTGTTGTTGTTGTTTTTAATTGCCAGGGTGATTACGGAGATGTCAGCTCGAGGAAGGAATTGAGAAAACAGTTGAACTGTAAGAGCTTTGGTTGGTACTTAAAGAATATCTATCCAGAGCTTTTCATACCTGGTGAAGCTGTCGCATCAGGAGAGGTAAGTTACCAATTTTTTAAGTATACATGGGAGAGTGGATGAACGTGATAACCAATTGAAGATTAGCTGGAGTACCCGTCCCCCCCTGACGGAAGTTATATAAATTCATGATTAATAAAAGGTTATCTTAGGACATGAAAAGGATCTTATATGTAATTGTAAACAAAAAAAAATATATGCAAAAACGCCCATAAAAACTGTAAAACACAAAACGTGAAACCGCAATTTTGTATGTATCTCCCCATAGATCCAACAAACCTTCATGACATATTTGGTTAAGATCCATCAACAGGGGGCGAAGTAGTGGTAAAAAACGCCCATATAAGCCGCAAAATACAAAACTGAAAATTTGTATGCACACTCACATGGACCTAACGAACCTCCAGTACTATTATATTTATATAGATACAGCTTATATTTAATTATTATTATTGTAAGTTATATAGCCTCACTAAAAATTTACTCTACCAACCTGCCAAGTTCTTCTTCTTTCAGGAATGTAATTTTAAACAGGCCTATTTACCTAAAAACAAAAAACAAAAAACCACCCACAATTTCCATCTCATTCGGCTACGTAACTAGTTTACTCAGTAAACAAACAAACTTATAGGGGTAGTATACGTCTATTGTTGCTTTTCTAAACCGCTGTTTTTCGTCTGGTACAAAGTTTCTTCGAGTGTAGAGACCTTAAAATTACGACAATACTTGATCTCATCTTTAAACCTAATTAAATCAAATCTAAGCAGTGTTATTGACAATAAAAATAGCCTAACTTTAATATGGCATTTTTAAACAATATGTGAAAGAAAATTACCCGAGAACTAAAAATCGTAAAAATCTCGATTAGGCTACTATTATTTTTAAGTCAGAAGATTCCCGTTTCTTTCTTTCAATATTTATGAAGCCTAAACATTAGAGCAAGGGCGTTTAACGGACAGACTTGTAAAACAAACAGAACAACACAACTTTATTTATTTATTTTGCAAGTAACCAAAAAGAAAACTTGTATTTAATATCAATTATATGGTACTTTTTTTTAAAATTCTAAATTGTCATAATATTTAATATTGTTTTGATAGGTTAGAAACTTGGGTGACAAGTCCAACACGTGTCTTGACAGTCCAGCCCGACGAGATGACCTCCACAAGCCTGTGGGGTTGTACCCCTGTCACGGACAGGGTGGTAAT